CTACTACCGCCTCTTCCCCTACCGCACTCCGTCCCTCCCCCCGCCACCGCTCTTCCTTGTGCCAGGTCCCCCCCCGGTAGACCCCCTCCCCCCTCAGGGTCCTGCCCCTTCAGGTGTGTCCCAGGTAGACGCAGTCGAGCCTGTCGAGGTTACTGGTGACTCTGGTGCTGCTGAGGGTGCTGAGCCTGGGGGTGCTGACTCTGGGGGTGCTGAGCGTGTGGGTGCTACGCCTGGGGGTGCTGAGCCTGAGGGTGCTACTACTGGGGGTCCTGAGCCTGGGGGTGCTGAGCCTGGGGGTGCTACTACTGGGGGTGCTGAGCCTGGGGGTGCTGAGCCTGGGGGTACTACGCCTGGAGGTGCTGAGCCTGGGGGTGCGGAGCCTGAGGGAGCTGGGCCTGCTCGTGTGGCGTCTGGCGGTGCTGAGCCTGGAGGTTCTCCGGGTGCTTCGTCTCGGCGGGAGCCACTCTCTCCACCGGAGCTGCGCGAGTGGTTTGCCCGGCGCTGGAGGCGTGCTGCTGGAGCTGGAGGTTCTTCGCCTGCTGAGGGTGCTGGTGCCGCGGGTCCCGGAGGTGCTCGTACTGGGAGTACTGGAGCTGCTGGGCCTGCGAGTACGACTGGAGCTGGAGCTGCTGAGGGTGTTGGCGCTGAGGCTACTGCTGTCGGTCCTGCTGTCGGTCCTGGAGTCCTCTCTTCCTGCTCTTCCTGATCCGGAGTCGGACTCCCTTCGTGCTGCCAGTCCGACTGTCACGCGTCTCCTTGCTACTGTTGTCACTGACCCTTCTTTTGAGTCCACTGCTGCGTCTGCCCTAGTTGCTGAGCTCGTCGACTTTGCTGCTCGCTGTCGTCTAGACTACGCTGCTAGTCTTGTTGCTGAGTCTGAGTCTGTCTGTCCTCCGTCCGTCGGGGGTGAGTGTGCCCTTGGCACGGACGTCCTTGAGGACAGGCAGGAGGAGTTCCAGTGTCTGGCTGCTGCTTCACCTCATCTCGTGTCCGTACTGCTTACCCCTGAGGAAGACCCGGATGCACTTGACATCCCGACTCCGCGCTCTTACGCGGAGGCGATAGAGGGTCCCTACTCCTCTCAGTGGCAGGCAGCTATGGACGTAGAGATGGCTTCCTGGAAGTCCACAGGCACCTACGTTGACAAGGTTCCCCCACCTGGGGCGAACATCGTCAGTGGCATGTGGATTTTCAGGGTGAAGCGGCCGCCGGGTTCTCCGCCTGTCTTCAAGGCGCGTTACGTGGCTCGTGGCTTCAGTCAGCGGCAGGGAGTTGACTACTTTCAGACCTTTTCTCCCACCCCGAAGATGACCACTCTTCGGGTACTGCTGCACATAGCTGCTCACCGCGACTACGAGCTGCACTCTCTTGACTTCAGCACTGCTTTCTTGCAGGGCAGCCTGCACGAGGAGATCTGGCTGCGTCGCCCACCTGGCTTCACTGGGTCCTTTCCTCCTGGCACCCAGTGGAGCCTCCGGAGGCCAGTCTACGGTCTCCGCCAGGCACCGCGTGAGTGGCACGACACACTGAGGACTACACTTGCGGCTCTTGGGTTTGCTCCCTCTACTGCCGACCCGTCGCTGTTTCTGCGCACCGACACTTCTTTGCCGCCGTTCTACATCCTCGTGTACGTCGACGACTTGGTCTTCGCCACAGCTGACACTGCTGGACTCGCCCACGTGAAGTCCGAGCTGCAGAAGAGACACACGTGCACAGACCTGGGTGAACTGCGCAGCTACCTTGGCTTGCATATCACCCGGGACAGAGCACGCCGCACCATTACCCTGACTCAGTCACACATGGTGCAGCAGGTCCTTCAGCGCTTCGGCTTCACGTACTCCTCGCCTCAGGCCACTCCTCTGCCTACTCGCCACTCGCTCTCAGCTCTGCCTTCGGATGAGTCCGTAGAGTCGAGTGGCCCGTACCCAGAGCTTGTTGGCTGCCTCATGTACCTGATGACCTGCACACGACCTGACCTTGCATACCCTCTTAGCATTCTTGCACGCTATGTTGCTCCTGGGAGACACAGACCGGAGCACATGGCTGCAGCGAAGAGGGTGTTGCGCTACTTGTGCAGTACGTCGGGCATGGGGCTTGTGCTTGGAGGGCAGAGTCCAGTGGTCCTCAATGGGCACGCAGACGCTTCTTGGGCTGACGACCAGGCTACGCAGCGGTCGTCACAGGGTTACACCTTCAGCCTTGGTTCCGGCTCTGTTTCGTGGCGGGCTACCCGCTCGTCTTCTGTTCTCGGCTCCAGTTGTGAGGCTGAGATCTACGCCGGGGCCATGGCTGCACAGGAGCTTCGCTGGCTCACCTACCTGCTCACTGACCTCGGAGAGCCGCCTCGTTCTCCTCCAGTGCTGTACGTAGACAACAAGGTCATGCTGGCCTTGTGTCGAGAGCAGAGACTGGAGCACAGAACGAAGCACATTGCTCTCCGCTACTTCCTTGCTCGTGAGCTACAGCAGCGTGGTCAGCTACGGCTTGCGTACGTGGCCTCTGAGGCCAACACTGCTGATATCTTCACCAAGGCACTTCCGCCTTGTGATCATCAGCGCTTCTGTACTCAGCTGGGTCTTGTGCCTACCTTGCCTCACTTGCTCACCCTTTGACCTTGCTTGTACTGTTGCATATATATATACACCTGCTCTTGCTTGTCTAGCCTTATATATGTATATGCAATCCTGTATGTGAACTGGCCTTGTGGCCTTGAACTTGTGCTCGGAATGTGTGGTGACTTTGTGATCCACCCTGAGCTTGTTTTGCTTTGCTTGACTGGTCTTGTGACCCCTTGTTCTCCCCCACTTTGCCTATGGGGGTGTGTCAGACTTATATGACATAGCTACTGTAGGCTATAGTGGGGTAGCACATATGGGGTACAGTTTTCTAGGGTTTGCTTTTGTACACAACTTTCCTTTAGTCATTCCATTCCTCGTTTCTTCTCAGCTAGGATGCCTTCTCTTCGCAGCTGTCACCTGCCGCCCCGACCTCTCATACTCCGCAAGCCAGCTCGCCACCTACCTCAAGAAGCCTGAAGCAGAACACCTGGCGGAGCTCGACCGCGCTCTCCACTACTTCGTCAGTACCTCAACGATCGGCCTAACTTACTACAAGAACACAACTACACCGACTAAATTAATCGGCTACGTCGACGCTGATCACGCTGGCGACTCCGACAACAGGCGCTCCCGCACCGGCTACATCTACCGCCTCGAACCTATCGGACCGATCTCCTGGCAATCGAGCAAGCAGGAATTAATTGCTCTCTCGTCAGCTGAAGCAGAATATATTGCACTCTGCTCAGCCACCAAGGAAGGACTCTATCTTCGCGAGCTGCTGGAAGAAGCGAAGTTAGCCGAGTTACCCAACTTCACTCTGTTCTGCGACAACCAATCTGCAATTCGCATCGCCAACAAAAATGGATTCGCGAACAGAACGAAGCATATCGCTCTGCGATATTTCTTCGTGAAAGACGAGATTGAGAAGGGGAGACTTGAACTATCCTACTGTCCCACGTCCGAGATGGCAGCTGACTACTTGACCAAGAAGCTCGGAAAACAAAAGTTCGAGTACTGCATGCTGCTGACTGGACAAAGCCACGTCACCAGCAGCGACACTCCAGAAGCGAAGGGGAGTGTTGGGAACAAACAATCTTAAGCGCCTCTGTCGTGTCGAAACACCAAGGCACAAGCGAAGCAGAGCATATCGAGGCACCAGCGAGTTAACCCTCGGAGGTTGAAGTAACCGCTGGAGGTTACGCGAAAGTCAAAGGTCAGCGACCTTTGACTTGACAAATGCAGCGCGACAGCAAGGACACACAACTGACTCGACATTGAGCAGTTGCCCGAGTCGCACTGTATCGAACCGCAACAGTAAAACAGTTTAATTATATCTCTTCGTATTCTTTGTACTCTTATATAAACCTTTGTACTTGCTTGTTTTAATCAACTTACTTTGCCCTCACATACCAGCGCAAGGTGGTTCAAGGACTTCATTTAAACGCTTCCGCTACTACATCACTCTACCCAGAGTTTAACCCTACCAAAGATCCTAAGGGGCACTCAGCCCAACAGATTGCACTAACGTGTCAAACGAGTACAAGATGTGAGCGAAGGCATTAGCGAACATTTATACGCGAAACATGCAAACGGTAACGCGGTGCGTGCGAGCTAGCTAGAGCTAGGCTGGCATCGAGGCTCGGGCTAGTCCCGAAGCGTAGGCCAACACGGCCGAGCCAGCGGTGCATGGTTTGGTGAAACAGTGCGCGCGAAGTCGGCGAAGCCCCGTTAGCAGTAACGGGCGAACAACGGCTGCTGCTGTACGTGATGTTGCAGGTCGCGGTAAGGAATGTCGAGAAAATTCCTTACACTAATAGAACTTTCTTGCAGTGTAGAGAGAGAGCTGAATACACAAAAATGTTCAATAAGCAGATACACAACTGAAGGGTTACGGGTGCCTAGAAACACCAGAGCCAGCGCCTATAATAACACCAGCAAGGTTAGAAGTTAGAAGGAACCCAAGGCAAGCCGCTTCCCCTTCTCCCCCCCAACGCTTCAAGCGGGGGAGGAGGGGGGAAGGGGTGAAGGGGGCGTGCAATGACCGTATGAAGTGTGTGCTGCTAGCGAGCTGGTGGCGGGAAGAACATAGGAAACTGCATAGGGACCGAAATCGCGGGAGAGTTGCGGGGTGGGAGAGGAAAGGTGGGGGAATGTCAGGGGACGGTTGTCAGGGAGTGGAAAGTGGAGAGTGAGGCAACACCTGCCCCTTCACCCCATATCTGTAGAAATGAATGGACAGACGAGAATCAGGCTATGTGTGTTGAGGTTCTTTGAGACATCTCAGAAAACACATCTATGGATAAAACCATGCATAGTTCTTCCTTCGTAACCATGCCCCGTTTTCACTCACATCCTCATCTTCGTCCTCCACCCTGCTGACAGTAAGTCTTTTGCCAATGAAGTTCCTTGTCATGAAGCCCACCCACCCCCACACCTTGAAGTTCATTGCGACAAAGCCACACCTCCAATACCCGTCTCCCATGCATGCACTATGCGCACATGCTGCATCATACTCACATCCTCATCCTCGTCCTCCACCCCGCTGAGAATGAGCCTATCTGCTTTGAAGTTCATTGCTACGAAGCCCACCCACAACACTCCCCATTTCCCATGCATACATGCACACTGCACTGCACACCACACATGCTGCATCATACTCACATCGTCATCCTCGTCCTCCACCCATGCAAGAGTGAGCCTATCTGCGTTGAAGTTCATTGGTACGAAGCCCACCCACAACACTCCCCATTTCCCATGCATACATGCACACTGCACTGCACACCACACATGCTGCATCATACTCACATCGTCATCCTCATCCTCCACCCATGCAAGAGTGAGCCTATCTGCGTTGAAGTTCATTGCTACGAAGCCCACCCACAACACTCCCCATTTCCCATGCATACATGCACACTGCACTGCACACCACACATGCTGCATCATACTCACATCGTCATCCTCGTCCTCCACCCATGCAAGAGTGAGCCTATCTGCGTTGAAGTTCATTGCTACGAAGCCTACCCACAACACTCCCCATTTCCCATGCATACATGCACACTGCACTGCACACCACACATGCTGCATCATACTCACATCGTCATCCTCGTCCTCCACCCATGCAAGAGTGAGCCTATCTGCGTTGAAGTTCATTGCTACGAAGCCCACCCACAACACTCCCCATTTCCCATGCATACATGCACACTGCACTGCACACCACACATGCTGCATCATACTCACATCGTCATCCTCGTCCTCCACCCCTGCAAGAGTGAGCCTATCTGCGTTGAAGTTCATTGCTATGAAACCCACCCAAGCAAAACCCACCCCCCATGCATGCATACATCCGTGCACACTGCACACACCATGCATACACATGTTACTCACGTCCTCATCCTCGTCCTCCACTCCTGCAAGAATGAGTCTATCGGCATTCAAGTTCATTGCCACGAAGCCCACCCACACTCATTGACTGATATCCATTGCCACAACCCGCACCTGGCACACCCGTATACTATACACCTACACACACCATGCATGCACATGTTACTCACATCCTCATCCTCGTCCTCCACTCCTGCAAGAATGAGTCTATCGGCATTGAAGTTCATTGCTACAAAGCCCACCCACAGCACTCCCGAGCACAGCATGATGAGCCCCATGCCTGCAAATAGCCCCACCTGAGAGAGGGGGAGGGGGGGGATGGGAGATAAGCGGATGGGGGTGAATGAGGTGATTCAGCTGAGCTGCGCACAGCATGATGAGGCCCATGCCCGCCAACACCCCCACCTGCGAAGGGCGGGTGGGATGAGAAAGGGAGCAAATTGGATATAAGGTGTGCCACACCGTTACAGACTAAACACTTTAGTGAACACTATATAGAAGGAAACTTAAATAGGAAACAACCACTCGGGAGGGAATACTACTGGGAGTGGACTCACCGGGACTGCCCCACTGCCTGTTGACTGCTGCCAGACTAGATACGAGCTGTAGCACACCGGTACAAGCGTGAAGCACCTGCGATGGGGGTGCGGTGGAGAGAGGTGGGGTGGAGTGATGTGAGGTGGGGTGGGGTGGTACGGGTTGATCCGAGGCCCAAAGGGTTACCCTCAATCATAGGTGATCGCACATGACAGCACATCATGCAGTGCAGCTTACCAGGTCAGTGAATACCAGAGGCAGAACCCCCACCTGTGGTACTTCACGGTGTGGTGTGGTGTGGTGCGGCGCGGTGTGGTGTGTGAGGCCAAAAGGGTTATCCCTCCTCTTAGGTGATGGCACATGACAGCATGCCATGTGGCTTGCAGTACGTCGTGTGGTGTGGTCGTGTGTGGTGTAATGCGGTTTGGTGTGGGTCCAACAATATGAGGCTCACCATGCATGGCAGTACCAAACGAATACACCTCATCGGTGGTGCTTCACAAACGCCTTGTGGTGTCGTGTGGTGCAGTGTGGTGTGGCGTGGTGTGGGCCCTAGACTGTGCAGCTTACCATGCCAGGTGGTACCAAACGGAATACGCCCCACCAGTGGTGCTTCGCAAACGCTTTGCTCATTGATAGGTACGCCTCGTGGTGTGGTGTGGTGTGGTGTGGTGTGGTGTGGCGTGTGTGAGTCCCAACACCGTGCAGCTTACCATGTTAGGCAGTACCAGACGGAGAACCCCCACCGGTGGTGCTTTTGAGTCGACTTAAAATCACAAACGCTTTGCCCATTGACTGATACGCCGTGTGGGGCACACGAAGGGCCACCTGGGCGCCGCCTTGGTGAACGGAACAGAAGTGGGACACTTACCACGCCAGAGACGCACACTTACCACGCCAGAGACACACACTTACCACGCCAGAGACACACACTTACCACGCCAGAGACACACACTTACCACGCCAGAGACACACACTTACCACGCCAGAGACACACACTTACCACGCCAGAGAGACACACACTTACCACGCCAGAGAGACACACACTTACCACGCCAGAGAGACACACACTTACCACGCCAGAGAGACACACACTTACCACGCCAGAGAGACACACACTTACCACGCCAGAGAGACACACACTTACCACGCCAGACACACACTTACCATGCCAAGCAGTACCAGACGGAGACCCCCCATCGGTGGTGCTTCACAAACGCCTTGCTCATCGAGAGATACGCCGTGTGGGGCCCGCGAACGGCCACCTGGGCGAAGCACGCTGCCAGGAAGCAGCAGACGATGGCGGCAATCCCAAGGCCCACTGTTGGCCCCGGGGGAACGCCGCATGTGGCAGGCATGGAGGTGCAGTCCTCTGGTATTTGGGGCTGGAAGGGGAGAGGTGAGACAATTGGGGGGGGAAACTACTTTGGGGTGCCTCTGAAGCAGATGGCGGCAATCCCAAGGCCCACTGTCGGACCCGAGGAAACGCCGCAGGCAGCACGCGTGAAGGTGCAGTCCTCTGGAATTTCGGGCTGGGAGTGGGAGAGGGGAGACTCGGATTACACCTGGGTAACGGTGGGCATCGGCAGTGCGGATCAGTGGGTACTAGTAGCGGTAGCATCCGTTATAAGAACACTCACCTTGGTGTGCTCGGCCACCATCATAAGAACGTAAGCTGCGAATGCTGTACCCGACACCACCACCGACCCGATAATTGTTTCAAGCTGACCCATGGCGAACAACTCTTGTTACACTGTAACGCTGTTACATGTAGTGCAGATAAGATGCCGCTGGACGGAAATATTTTTACCTAAATTCGCAGGAAATTCTTTTCCACTCGCTCCTTGCTGTCCTATTTTAAGGGAATTGATGCCTTGCCTGATAATGGACCTATATCGACGCCATTGCGTAGTTGACTAATCTACTGCAATGTAATTTACCGACGATTTTGATTGAACCTAACAGCTGTAACGGCATCACCGGCGGAAGGACCAGAAACTCGGCATTATCTACTGCCAATAATTAAGTCCCGTATGTCGGAATATAAGAACGAAGCGAATCGCGGTGCTATGTTCTACAGTTAAACAAAAAGCTCTCAGCCTACGGTAGGTGCGCTCCGTTGGTGGGAATGCCACACGCTATGATCGTGCGCTATGGGGATTAACATCTATTCAGCCAAGCAAGCGAAAAAGCTGCTGGCAGTGGTGTAGCAAGCACGCCTCAAGATGCTACATCCACGACGGGCGTGGAGTCACGTCGTTGCTACAATTCTTTCTTCTCTCTCCAGTCATCGACCCCTTTCACCAAAGTCAGTCGCGAGGTCTAAAAGGAACTCCCATGTTCACGACGTTCGATCCTGACTTTGCTCTGAGATGTGAAGTTGTTTCGAAACGAGGAGGTCCATAAATTAGAGGCGAGATGGTCTGAGTGAAGTTTAGAGCGAGTGCGATGAAGGCAGGTGCGAGTCTATGGGGTATCGTATGTGGGAGGGAGGCGAGGAGTGAAGGGATTGACTAGACGAGGGCACTGTGCCTTGAGCTCCCTGCAAGACCCACGAGGGTGTGGCAGCGCGTACGTGCAAGTTTCAATATCCGTGGCTCGGAACGGTTTCACACGGTAGAAAGTGGCAATCTGGCTTCACCGTTCCTCACCGCGACGCAACGAAAATGACCGCACAATGTGGTCCACACCCCTTTGCAAAAACTGTTCCCTAGGGAGCACATTTTGACGGGAAGGGAAAATTGAGGCGTGAACGGGAATATATGTACAGTGTACACTATCCAGCATCATATTGACAAAAATTGAAATCGCTACTCGTTACTGAAATTGGAGCGATGATCTGATAGAATGTCCCCTCCTCAACCACGCTGCTTTGGCTCTAAGTACCACTTGGTACTTCAATCCCTCGCATTCATTAGTGCCTCTTAGATTCCCCGAATTCATTCTCTTAGTTCCTCCTACATCAGGATTCGTTGATACTGCAGCACTCGCCGCCCACTGGTTAGCAACACGAGTCCCTCCAAAACCACCACGTGGCAGAGCCTGAATGGCTGCTGCCGCGGAGGCTGGCGTCGCCGGTAGCAGCAAACCTGGAAGTAGCAGCGTTGCGGAACCCCCGAATCTCGCCGGAAAAACCGGGCGGTCGGAGCGCGATCGCGATCGCGTGTACGACATTCCCTGGGTGGAGAAGTACCGGCCACAGCGCGTGGAGGACATAGTGGGCAATGAAGACGCGGTTTCGAGACTCTGCGTCATCGCACGCGATGGCAACATGCCGAATCTAATCTTCGCAGTATGTAAGGAAACTATGTAAAAGCACTATGTAAGGATACTAAGCAGGGCAAGACCACTAGTGCACGTGAAAGTCATAGTTTCCTTCCACTAATGGGCATACTATGCTGCCTTGGAATTAAACGTGTCGTCTGACGACCGAGGCATCGACGAGGCTCCGATTTTCGTCTCCCTTGCCCCAATCCCGCAGGGCCCTCCTGGGACAGGAAAAACACCAGTGTGCTCGCACTCTCGCACGCACCGCTGGGTCCCAGCTACTACCAAGTCTCTGACTTTGAACTGAATGCGTCTGATGACCGAGGGATCGATGTGGTTCTGCTGTTTCGTCTCCCCTCCCCCAATTCCACAGGGCCCTCCTGGGACAGGGAAAACCACTAGCGTCCTGGCCTTAGCACATGCACTGCTGGGTCCCAGCTACCGCGATGCAGTGTTGGAGCTGAACGCGTCTGACGATCGGGGCATCGATGTGGTTCGCAACAAGATCAAGATGTTCGCCCAGAAGAAAGTCACCCTGCCGCCCGGGCGGCACAAGATCATCCTATTGGACGAGGCGGACAGGTGGGGCGCAAATCGAGGTAGATGCATTCAGGGATGGCCAAAGTGTGCATCTTGTTTTTAAGCGCCTGCTGTTCATTCGCTCAGATGAAAGTCACTCTGCCGCCCGGGCGGCACAAGATTATCCTTCTGGACGAGGCGGACAGGTAGGACTTATACCGAAGTCGGAGTACAGCTTCTTTTGAGACGCCTTTTGAGATGTCTTTTGAGACGTCTTTTGAGACGTCTCAAAAGTTATACCGAAGTCGGAGTACAGCTTCTAGGGATTACCAACATCTTACCGTCCTATCTGATAGCCTGCTGTATTCTCGCTTAGAATAAGGTCACTCCGCCGCCCAGGCGGGCGGCACAAGATCATCCTATTGGACGAGGCTGACAGGTGGGGTGCTATTTGACAGGCCTGTCAGCCTCGTCCAATTTGACAGGCCTGTCAGCCTGTCAAATAGCACCTAGAGATAGCCAAGATGTGTAAGTCTCGAATTTTGGAGAGTAATAGCTTTGTTTTGTTCTTTCTTGCTTTTAGTAAGTCGATTTTTGAGTCGACTCAAAAATAGTCAAGATGTGTAAGTCTCAAATTCTGGAGAGTAATAGCCTTGTTCTGTTTTTCCTTAATTTTTTGCAGTCTGATTCGTCCCTCCCTCCCCTCCCCTCCCACCACCCCATGCTAGCATGACAGCAGCAGCGCAACAAGATTTTTGGAGAACCATGGAGATTTACTCTTCCACATTCAGATTTGCCCTCGCATGCAACAATTCTACTCCTCTCCCCCCCCCTCCCCTTTCCTGCCCCCACCCACTCCCTCCCCCTTCAACACGCCAGCATGACAGCAGGGGCGCAGCAGGCGTTGAGAAGAACAATGGAAATCTACTCCTCTACCACCAGATTCGCCCTGGCATGCAACGTGTCTTCCAAGATCATCGAACCCATTCAGAGCCGCTGCGCCGTCGTGCGATTCTCCCGGTTGACTGATGCTCAAGTGCTGGCGAGGCTCATGCTGGTGGTTCAAGAGGAAAAGGTGAGAACCGCTGTACATAGGTGAGGCACAGAAATTTTCCCTGCTGTGCCTCCGCGTGCAACGTGTCATCCAAGGTCATCGAACCAATTCAGAGCCGCTGCGCTGTCGTGCGATTCTCCCGCCTCACAGATGCCCAACTGCTGGCGAGACTAATGCTGGTTGTTCAAGAGGAGAAGGTGAGAAAAGGGTGAGGCCTGAAAGCCTCTGTCTGGCTTGTGCAAATCACTTTTTAGAACCTTCAGAGGTAATTCTTCTCTCTCACTCTCCCACAAGATCATCAAAACGCTGATTCTCAAAATTGATTCCCCCTCCAAGATCCTACTGATGCCCCAAGTGCTTTCTCATTTGTTGACGTCCCCTTGTGAATGAATGCACCAGGTGGCGTACGTTTCAGAGGGGTTGGAGGCGATTGTGTTCACAGCAGATGGGGACATGAGGCAGGGGCTACATACGTGTGGTGGCTTATCATTCACATTCACATGCACATGCATCTGTATCCATCCCCTTGTGACTGTATCAGGTGGCGTACGTTCCAGAGGGGTTGGAAGCGATTGTGTTCACAGCAGATGGGGACATGAGGCAGGGACTGAACAACCTGCAGGCCACTGCCACTGGCTTCGGTCTGGTGAACGCTGATAATGTCTTCAGGGTATGTATGCCTCTAGTTTTCACTTTGGCTGTTGGGGTAGCTGTATGGAACGGGAGTGGGAGAATGAGAGGCAGGCACAGCGGATGGCGACATGAGGCAGGGACTGAGCAACCTGCAGGCCACTGCCACTGGCTTTGGGCTGGTGAACGCCGATAACGTGTTCCGGGTGAGTGTGGCACCGCTGCTTGCGCTGGTAGGTGAAGGTAGATGCAGATACAGCATGGGATTCACAACAGGGACTCAACAACCTTCAGGCCACTGCTACTGGTTTCGGGCTGGTAAACGCCGACAGTGTGTTTCGGGTGAGTGATAGCATTCACACAGGCAGGTGGCATAGCTGTAGGGAATGGGAGAGTGAGGGGCAGGGACTGAACAACCTGCAGGCCACTGCTACTGGCTTCGGGCTGGTGAACGCCGATAACGTGTTCCGGGTATGTGTGCTATATTGGTACCACTCACACAGGCAGGTGGTGTAGCTGTGTGCAACGGGAGTGTGTGAGTGAGAGGGGCAAGGCTCGATCCACAACCTGCAGGCCAGTGCCACTGGCTTCGGGCTTGTGAATGCCTAAAACGTTTTTCAGAGTATAGTGGTTGGTTTCAACTCTCCACATGGACCCATGGTTTAGGTGACTGCAGGCGTTGGTGGTTGTGGTAGACTTTTGAGTCGACTCAAAAATTCGCAGGCCATTGCCTCTGGCTTCGGGCTTGTGAATGCCTAAAACGTTTTTTTAAGGGTATATCGGTTGGTTTCCACCCTCCACATGGGCCCGTGGTTTAGGTGACTGCAGGCGTTGGTGGTAGTGGTTGTGGTAGTGGTAGTGGTAGTGGTAGTGGTAGTGGTAGTGGTAGTGGTAGTGGTAGTGGTAGTGGTAGTGGTAGCAGATCTTGGGACATCTTCCAGTGAGCAGCGGTTAGGTTTCCACCCTCCACATGGGCCCGTGGTAGTGCTCTAATTGTTGAATGTGGCCCGTCTGCTCCTCCCCTGTCTCGCCTCTCCCAGGTGTGCGACCAGCCGCACCCACTGAAGGTGGCAGCGACAGTGAAGGCGTGTCTATCGGGTGACATTGACACAGCATGCGAGGGCATCCGGGACCTCTTTGCTCTGGGCCTTTCTTAAGCCAGTGTAAATCCCGCTTTCCCCTATGCACATATCTTTCCCTTCCCCACCAGGTGTGCGACCAGCCGCACCCACTGAAGGTGGCAGCAACAGTCAAAGCCTGTCTATCGGGTAACATTGACACTGCATGCGAGGGCATTCGGGACCTCTTTGCTCTGGGCTACGCTGCGTCTGACATCATCACGACTCTCTTCAGAATAGTCAAGAACTACGATATGCCTGAGTTCTTAAAACTTGAGTTCATCAGGGTGAGTGTTGTCACATGGTGGGGGAAGGGGTGGGTTTAAGGGTTGTGTATACAGAGGTCACTTCTCTGGGCTACGCTGCTTCTGACATCATCACAACGCTCTTCAGAATAGTCAAGAACTACGACATGCCAGAGTTTCTAAAGCTGGAGTTTATACGAGTGAGTCGCCTTGCTTTTGCCAGTGAAAGGTGTGCAGATGGGTGCACAGGGGTTCAGATGGGTGCACAGGGCGTCAGAGGGAGCTGAATATCTTTGCTCTGACCTACGCCGCTTCTGACATCATCACAACATGCCTGAGTTTCTGAAGCTGGAGTTCATCAGGGTGACTAACGCCATGGGGGAAGGTTGACAGCAGGGCCGTGCACAAGAGGACACAGCTCTTTGCTCTGGGCTATGCTGCGTCTGACATCATCACGATGCTCTTCAGAATTGCTGAAGCTGGAATTCATCAGAGTAAGTCTAAGAGTATAGCGGATCCTTTTGCCAGCTTAAGGGCTACCAGGGTGAGTAGGGGCTTTCATTTGCCGGTCTCTGGGCCATTCTTGAGGCGCCTCAAAAAGTGGAGGCTTTCCTTTGCCGGTCTCTGGGCTATGGTGCTTCTGACATCAAGTCAAAAGCAGCTGATGCTCGTCAGAATAGTCAAAAAGTACAACATGCCCGAAGTGTTCAGTTGACTCCTCTCATCTTACCTCAATGCATACCCGTACCTACCCCCCCTCTTCCTTGTTGCAGGGGATTGGGTCCGGCCACATGCGGAAAGCAGACGGATTGAGTGCTGCGGCAGTCGAGAAATAATTACCTTTTCTATCTGCCCCTTGTAACCGTGTAACCGTGTTGCAGGAGGTTGGGTTCTGTCACATGCGGATAGCAGACGGAGTGGGGTCAGTGCTGCAACTATCAGGCTTAATGGCCAAGCTGTGCAAAATAGCCAGAAACGCTGCTCCCAAGTAGAGCTTTTCGTTGACTAATAATCTGCCCACACAGTTATACCGTGTGAATTATCGTTCAATGTAACTAATCAATGTGCAAAGTAAACTTGGGCTGTCCGACGGCCTGATTTCCTTGAATCTTTCAGGCTACTTTAATTCCCCCTAACGCTTTGTCTCCCCACAAGTGCCCAGCATAGTTTCCTGAGGTTCCTAGCTAGGTTTTTTGTGGTACGGTCAGGTTTGCGCTTTACACTCCATAACAGATCGGGTGTATATGAATAATCACTCGTTATTATTAGTCCCGGGCAAGTGCAGTCGGGACTCAACAATTGCAGCATAGTTCGGACTCGCGTCCATTGCGCCGTCGCATGCGGGAGATGCAAGGAGCACAGTCCCACCGAATTGTGAAATTTTTGTCGCGAGCCACTGAACGAGTCTCCCTTGATTTCGTCAGTTCAGGAACCAGTCGCCACTCGCGAAAGGCTTTCACTTCTCACCGCAATTATCCGCAGCAAATTTGATTGAGGTGAGTGAAGGAAAATCACCACAATCATCAGTTTGGAAAGTCGTGCGCCTCGGGCGAGATTCGAGAAGCTGGAGTTACTTATGAGTCACAGCAAAGCCAATCCCCGTGACTCGCGGAAGTTACTCATCGAAGCAACACAAGCGTTGGTTAAATAGAAGCTATCAATGCGGATTCATTTCATCACAAGTTCCAGTCGTTTTCACTCTCTCCTCTAAAAATCGTCACATAGCACCAGCTTTATCAGTTCAGCGTTGTCCACTACAAACAGAAGTGAAAATGACTCCGGCTAAAACCACATTCTTAGTCGTCGTCATCGCCTCTGCGATGCTCCTTTCCGCCCCGCGCATCTCTGCAGCTGCGGCTCCGGCCAACGCGACCGCTTCTGCTAAGGCGGCTGCCGCGCCTGCTAACGCGACTAAATCTGGAAATGCTACAAAAGTCGCTAACAGCGCGCATGGAGTGGCTACGGCGAGGCTGAGCAAGGGCGCGGGCGAAGGAAAGAACTCCACATGCGCCTACTACGGAAACTACAACGCCAACCCTTACTTCGGCAAGGGACTCACCGCGAAGATTCCTGACGCGCTCTTCAGCAAGCGATGCGGCGCGTGCTTCAAGGTGATCTGCAGCAACGACACGAAGCGCTGCCGCAGCGGCAAGGCCACCGTCACCGTCCGCGTCGTCGGCGCCACCAAGTCGGAGGGGAAGCAGCTTTCGCTTTCCGCCGTCTCATGGGCGAAAATCGTGCAGGGTTCGGACGCCGCCCCTATTAACATCACGTACAAGCGCACCAACTGCCATTCGACCGCCGGATCGGCGGTGCGCGTGCGCAGCAACTCCACCGCGGAGCATTTTAACATTCAGATGGTCGGCCTTGCCGGGCCCGGCACGCTTACCGAGGTAGAGCTTAGCGCGGATGGCAAAAAGTGGGTGAAGCTGACCCGCGACGGAAACAAGGCGATTTGGGGGATCAAGGGCAAGGAGGCGAAGGCGGTTGTGGGCGCGAAGAAGGCTATGAGCGTTCGCCTCACTGCGGGACACACCAGGGAGAAGATCACCCTCGCGAATGTCATTCCCACCGCCTGGAAGCCTCAAACGCTCTACTCGTCCAAGACCAACTTCAAGAAACTCATGGCTGAGGCCAAGTAGGCAAGTGGTAGGCGTGGGTTTCGAGGCGTGGGTTTCTAGGCGTGGGTTATGGAGGCGTGGGTTTTGGAGGCGCCTTAGAAGAAACCCGCGACGGTGTATTCGTCCAAGACCAACTTCAAAGAAGCTCATGGCTGAGGCTAGGAAAACGTTAACTGTGCGCTCAAGGCGGTTGAAGAAAAATCTAGGTGCCACCTCAATCCTCTGCGCTCGTCCAAGGCTAACTTCAAGAAGCTTATTGTAAGACCAAGTAGGCCTGGTGCGAAGAATATTTGCGGACTCGTCCAAGTCAGGGCGAAGTGGGTTAGGGGGAAGGGGAGGGGATAGGTTAGTGGGGGAGTGGGATTGAGGGTGGGGAGTGCGATGATGCAAAAGGGCTTTTGTATGCACATGATTTTTGAGTCAACAATTTGATTTGCTTGAGTTCCAGACTCGTCCAAACTTCTCTGCTGTGCAGAGTACAACGGAATACAACAGGGTTTAGGTCCCCTGCTGCTTCCACCACTGAAACCAGCAGCAGTGTTTTTCAGTGAAACCAGCGCCACCTGCACCACCCTTTCTCCCCACCACCGACCTCCCTTGCAGGCTACCAAAAACCACTACCGTACCTTATTCTCAACACTGGTTACCACTGGTTACCAGTATTTCCGGCGATTCCACCACCAGGACCACCACCGTCACTAGCCTCACCAGTAACTCCAATAATTCCATCAACTACAGAACCAGAACTGTCAGTGTTACGCCTGCTGCGGCTCCCACTATCCCTACTCCCATCCCAAACTGCTATTGCTGCTGCTGCCGGCGCCGGCGCCGCCACCGCCACTGTTGCTGCGGCTGCTGCTGCAGGCACCATCAAAACCAGAATCACCTGCCACGGCATTGTGTGACACAGCATCACCTGGCTCCTCCTAGCTCTCTCATTTCAGCACTGTTGCTGAAATGTTCTCACCCCTGCCGCTGCTGCCGCCGCCGCCGCCGCCGCCGCCGCTGCTGCTCCTGCCACCATCGAAACCAGAATGACCTGCCATGGCATTAAGTGACACAGCATCACCTGGCTCCTCCTAGCTCTCTCATTTCAGCACTGTTGCTGAAATGTTCTCACCCCTGCCGCTGCTGCCGCCGCCGGCGCCGCCGCCGCTGCTGCTGCTCCTGCCACCATCGAAACCAGAATCACCTGCCATGGCATTGAGTGACACAGCATCACCTGGCTCCTCCTAGCTCTCTCATTTCAGCACTGTTGCTGACCCCTGCCGCTGCTGCCGCCGCCGCCGCCGCCGCTGCTGCTGTTGCTCCTGCCACCATCGAAACCAGAATGACCTGCCATGGCATTGTGTGACACAGCAGTAACCTGGCTCCTCCTATCCCACTCTTTTCAACACTGTCGTTGAAAATGTTCACACCACTGCTGCTGCTGCTGCTGCTTTGACCACCTACGGCCACGGCCCACCATAAACACCTTCCCCAGCAGCATTACCTGCACGAGTACCAGCCTCCCCCTCGACCTCACTGAAGTTCTCTCTTTGTTTTACAGAGGATTGCATTGAAGGAACAGCCTCCCTCTGATGCTTCGCCCCTGGATGCTCCTCCCCCGAATGCTCCTCCCTCGGATGCTCCTCCCCCGAATGCTCCTCCCTCGAATGCTCCTCCCCCGAATGCTCCTCCCTCGGATGCTCCTCCCCCAGGTGCTCCTCCCCGGGTGCTCCTCCCTTAGATACTCTTACTATCAGTGCCCATGTTATCTACTTCTGTCACCACCACTGCTGCTGTTGCTAATGCTGCTTCCACCTGCGGAGAATAGGCGATTCTGGGAGAGCCTAGGTGCAGAGTTGCAAAGCGGATGGTTGTAAACCGAATACTGACTTGTGGAAACCGAATACTGATGCCAATCTTGGTATGCAATAATTGAAGGAACGGAATTGATTAAATAATGAAATTGATATATTACAACAGAAACAACATGAACCTTATAGAGAAGCATAGTGACGTGTGCAAGAACGTTCTACGAGAACGTTGTTCACGAAGAACGTTGTTCAAGGAGAACGTGCAAGCACCTACTCTAGAATGCGGTTCCAGGTTGGCACCGCCAGGTGAAAATACCATCAGGTGAAAATACCGTCAGGTGTATTTCTACCTGCCCAGGAGTAGTTGCGCAGGTTCTTGCAACACTGACAGTTGCACATACGCGTTTGTGCAATGTCGTCACTTCCCTGGTCCAATGTTGAAATGTGCATACCGAAGCGCACATATTGGAGTGTACTTGGCGAATACCGCAATACTGGTAAAACCGGTACGCCGTATGCAAAGTCTCGTTGCTCCGCATAGGGCCGCTACACGCAAAACCAGGCGCGTGCAAGGCTTCGCCTTAACACTCCCCTGCCCTGCTCGTGCCTGGGCAACTGAGGAGTTAGCACACCACACAAAGCGAAAGGAAATAATAGAGTACAACAGGGTGACGATCCTGATACTCGTCCGCGTGTTTTCCGCACACGCATACTCACCGCACCAGCCATGTTGAAGGATATGGCACCTATTCCTGCTCGTTGTCACGCTCGTCGTCTGCAAGATCAACTTGCCCAATGGCGACAGAGCAGCGCTTGAATGCCTTCGTGAGATAGTCCGCGGGTTGCTCGCTCGTCGGGATGTACGTAAGCGCGATTTTCTTGCGCTTCACCATCTGCTGCAGCCATATGCACCGCCTCTCCATGTGCTTGAGACTCCCCTTGAGCCCCAACCCTTCCGCAACCGCAATTGCATGTGAGTTGTCCACGTGGATGACAGTCGGCACCCCAGCATCTAGAAGCCGAAATTCAGCGAGTAGAAAGCGCAAACGGCGCGCCTCCTTGCCGGCCTCCATTGTAGCAATGTATTCGGATTCCGTTGAGGACAACGTCATGCACTTAATCCTCTGAAACTGCAGCTCCGCCAAGAACGAAAACGTATCCGCTGGTACTGCTGCGCGTCTGCCGGTCACCCGCATCATCGGAATCCGCATACCCCACCAGGCGCAGAGTATCCAGTCCACCACCGAACTCGAGGGCGAAATCGCGGGTGTCCACCACGTAGTCAATGCAGCGGTCCAGCTCCCTCCAGTGCTGGTCAGTGCGAATCGTCAACCCCGAGCCCAACTTGCTGCATGCGTATGCGATGTCGGGACGGGTCGTAGTTGTGGCAAACTGGAGCGAACCCACTTTCTGATGATACTCTTCCTCTTCACGCGCTTGGTATTCTTCGTCGTCAAATGTCAACTCGGTGTACGCGTCGACCGAGATAGGCGTTTTTGGGCAGCGACCTGTCTGCTCTTCGTCCACAAGCGGCGACGCAGCTTGTCCACGTATGCGCTTTGGTGCAGCCACAGCTTGCGCGCAGACCTGTCCCTTACTATCTCCAGCCCCAAATACTTCTGCACGGGAGTGATTTCCCGTAGCTCAAATGCGTTTTGCAGAAGCTCACGGAGGTCCTTCAGCATCTCGAGGCTGCTACTTGCGGCGAGCAAATCGTCAACGTACACCAGCAGCCAGCAACCGACTCCATCAGCACCAAACTTGAAGTAGAGCGCTTCGTCAACCTGACTCTTGCTCCACCCGCCGCCAATGAGTACGCTGTCGAGCGCCGAATACCACAGCAGTGGACTCTGTGTGAGTCCGTACAAGCTCTTCAGAAGCTTGCACACGCGAGATGTACCGTCGTTGAAGTACGCCGGCTGCTCCATGTACAGAACCCGGTCCAATTTGCTCTGCAGGTATGCGTTTTTCATGTCCAACTGCATGACGTGCAGATCGAGTACCGCGACGATGGAGACGAAAATGCGCAGTGTAATGTAGCTGCCAACCGGGGAATACGTCTCATCATCCGCGCCATAAATCTGCGTAAATCCCTTCACGACGAGCCGTGCCTTCTCGCGAGCGACCGTGTCGTCGGCGTTGTACTTTGTCGTAAGAACCCACCGTGACGCCGCGCGGTCGAGGCACCAACTCCCATGTTCCGTTGGCAAGGAGGCTACGCATCTCCTCATCCATTGCCGCTTTCACCGCCTTCCCCTTCTAGCTTGCAAGCGCTTCCTTGACGGTCATCGTTCCAATCGTTCAGGATCAGCGTGCACATCGGGATCCAGTTCTGGCAGCGTGGTATCCGCATTTGCGTCATCGAGAAGCGTGTTAGCGAATACCGGGCACACGTCGGCCCATTTCTTTGGAGGCACACCAAAGTTGGAGCGGGTGGAATGCCGTGTTGGCGGCTTGATTTCCACCACATCGCTCGAAGAACTTGTCAGAATCCCAACCACTAGACTATTGGGATAAAAGGGCTTGTTAAGTAGCGGATCAGTGCGCCCATAACCCTCCATGCCAACGTGCCTGTAACCCTTCACTAGGATCAATCGGGGATCTCCAGTGGACCCCTGACACCCCCCCGCACTGGGATGCCCGAAGTGCACACACTGAGATTCGAACCCGAGATCTTCGCTCTGATACCATGTCAGAATCCCAACCACTAGACCATTGGGATAAAAGGGCTTGTTAAGTAGCGGATCAGTGCGCCCATAACCCTCCAGGCCAACGTGCCTGTAACCCTTCACTAGGATCAATCGGGGATCTCCAGTGGACCCCTGACAGAACTGTCTCCAGACGACTCCCCTGCAGCTTCGCCGATGACCTCCACAACGTCGCTCGACGTGCTGCCGCTGATCTGCTCCCCTGTCAACTGCTCCCCTGCCGGTTTCTGCATACTAGGCGCCGGTTTCTGCAGGCGCCGATTTCTGCATACCGGGTGCGCCATCCTTAGAAGATGCGGCAGGTCGACCGTCGACGATGCCGATGCGTTGCGCCGAAGGTAGCGCGTCATGTCTCCCCTCATCGTTGTCGGCCGACTTGGACGGGGTGGCGGCGGTGGGAGGTAGGCTTTCTGCAGCTGGCAGCGGAGAGGAGAGGACAGCAGGCGAGGAGGAGGTTGGCGGTTTGGTGACCGGTACCACACGCCAGTACACTGGTGGAAGGGAAAAGCTGGGG